GTGCTGTTTCGTTTGGCATGCGCGGTTTTCGCATTGGTTCGTTAGTTGAAAACGTCATCAAAGCTGCCTCTCCGTCACTCAACTAGATAGAATAAATGTGATTGGCTGAAATCGGAAGACGTTCCGACGTTTTATGATTATGCCTCGAAAGAAGCATTCTTCGGTCTTGCTGTCAATCCGAAATTGATGGCACTGCCTCCCAGCCGAAAAAATGGCAGGTATCATGAATATGTGCGGATTTTTTTTGTGAGCGACGGTACAGGAGCGGCCTGTAACTATGGACCTAGACGCGCCGAGTCAGCTATCCGGGGGTGTTGTTCGGACAAAATGAGGGGAGAAGTATAGTCTTCAATTGTTTACCCAAGTCAGGCTGACTGGCGCATCTTTCTTTTTAAAACTACTCGGCATGCGTGCCCTTTTGATTTGGTTCTGAACTGTTGAACCTTTGTCCAAATGGATGAAAATAGTCAAACCTTCGTCAAGTCCGACTATTCTCGTCGGAGTCTGACTATTCTCGTCGGAGTCTGACTATTCTGGTCAAAGTCTGACTATTCTTTGTCGGAGTCCGACTATTCTTTGTCGAAATGGACGAAATGGACAAAATTGATTTCAGAGCTCGCAAGAATCTTGTGTGACAAAAAATTCAAATTTGCATTGTCGGGCTGGTAGTAACAAGCTGGTCCAAGAAGGATGCCATGCAAAAACGGCAAAAAACGGTACACTAGAAAACAAGAAATGGTAACTAAATAAAAAAGGGCAGGTTCTGTGAGGATTGTCTGTAGAGGGACTTGAGGGACAGTTGAGGACACTAGACAATTTAGTTGTAATAGAGATAGAATTGCTATTCTTATTGATGATAGTTCATGAATGTGAGGATTGCTCTGAACTTGAGCAGAGGATCCAGCAGTAGATACACGTAGAGAGTAGTATATAGAATTCGGGAGAAGAACTGAGGCGTCAAATGATCGTGAGAATTACCCAATCAGAGTAAGCCACCGGTCCGATCTATTGGACTCACGGTGCGATTCGTTTGACCTCAACACTCCCTCTCGATCAAATAGTGAGGTATGTAACTTGAATGAAGAGTATGCTTACCATCCGCAGAGTAGTTTTCGAATGGCGCGGAACTTGTCCAAGGTAAGTCCCTTCGTGAGAATATCGGCCTTCTGAGCTTCTGATTCGATATATTCAACCGATATGTTGTTTGTGGAATCCGAAACGTGAGATCAGAACCAGCGATACTTGACAGCATAGTGTTTGGATCTTGGGGTGTATTGTCCGGGCTTGAGGCGAGCAAGCTTCAGACATCCCATATTGTCTTCCCACACAGTTGTCTTTAGAGAGGTGACTGTTTCGTTGGATAGCCCGAGTCCTTGAGCTTCTGTCTTGAAAACTCTTCGTAGAGGTAAGATATCACGCATTGCCATAGACAGCGCATTGTATTCCGCTTCCATAGTGGCAGTGGCAATGTCTGTTTGTAGTCTTGACACCCAAACCACCGGGCATCCACAGACTGAGATGACATATCCAGTTCTTGACTTGACGCATGTAGGATCCATAACGTCTTCAACTGAATAAAGACCGGCAAAATCCGCATCAACATGACATTCAATGTCAAATGAATCGGTCGGTCGCAAGATTAGGCCTTCATTTACTGATGATTTCAAATATTGCCCAATTCTGATGAGCGCTTTTTCGTGCAAGCGCTTAGTCCCATGGATGAATCGCGCACATTGAGACACGGCGAATTGTATGTCCGGACGAGAGTGTCCGCAAAGATACAAGGCCATTCCAATCACGCTTGCATATGAGAAACTGCCATTTGCGGGATCTCCATTTTCGTCTTTTCCAAGGGGTTCTTTCAACGCAGGAGTGTGCTTCTGAGGTTCCTGGTCAATATTGAGGGCTTCAATGATCCGTTTGGTTAGTCCTTTTTGAGTAAGTTTAATAGTCTTGTTGGATTCGTCGCGTTCGATATGGACTCCAAGAAATCCAGCAACAGAATCTTCAATTTCCACTGCAACACCTTGACTTTTCAAACTCTCAATTGCTTTGTTTCTGTACTCTTCTTTAGGACTGAAGAACAATGTGTCGTCGACGTAAACAAGGCAGATAACTTTATCTGAAATAAAAAGACATGGATCAACTTCTTCTTGAGATTTGAATCCTGCATTTTCCAGTTTCCCTTTGATGAAATTGAAGAAATTAACGGGCGATTGCTTGAGCCCATAGAGGCTTTTATTGAGTTTTAATACCTTTCCTTCTTCAGCAAAGCCTCTGGGCATTTCACAGAAGACTTCCTTGTCTCCTATGGGTGCATGAGTGAAAGCGGCGGTGTAATCAACTTGCTTAGTTTCGAGTCCCAGTACAAGGGAGAGAATTAGGAGGAGGCGGACTGTCTGCCAAGAGACAACCGGTGAGAATATTTCATTTGAATCGTAGTCGATCCCATCTTTCTGTCGATCACCTCTCACACAGAACCGTCCTTTCAATTTTCGAACTTTTCCATCTGGATATCTTTTACATTTGAATGCCCATGTTGAGGGAAGGACATTCATTGATTGAAGTCGGGGAACCACTTTCCAGACCTCCATTTGCTGTAGGGTCTCGATCTCCTTGATAGCTGCTTCCATGTAACCATCGGCTAGGGGACCGTTCATAGCTTCTTCCCAACCTGGATTATCTTTGGAATTGGCTTTGGCGGCCAGGATCATTGGATGGAGCCATTCACAGGTCTCTGAATCCTGGTCAAAGTCGGTGGTTAACGCCCACATCTTGGCAAATTCGTTGGAACGAAGTGTCTCAACAAAGTCATTGAACTTTAGAGAAGCGAGAAAACCCTGATTGATGGTGGTGTGTCTCACATTTTGATTTAGAGCATGTAGGCCATACTTCCTTGGCCTGAATCGGCGTCTTCCAGCTCGGGAAGGCGCTTGTTCTTGTAGGTTTCGTAGAGTTCGATTAAGAGTTTCATCTTCTTCTTGTTTGTCATCTTCTGTAGCTTGATCAGGAATAGGAACATCTGTAGGAACATCTGTTTCTTCTTCCTGTTGAACATTCTCGTCTTCAGCTACTCCCTCTGGAACTGACAAGTCATCAACGTTATCATTGTCACCAGCTTCGATTGCTTCTGAGGGGTCATCTGCGACTTCATTTCGATTATTTTGAACATTCGGAGCTTCCTGAGGCTGGTTGTGAACCGGTTGCACACGAGGTATTGGCGGTTGGTTGACAGGTAGCAGAGGAATTGGAGGTTGCACTGGCACTGGAGGCGCATGACCACCGTTATTACCCCCTGGAAGCGGAGCTTGGTGGCGATGCTGGATGGCTTGTTGGTGGAGGCGGGCTCGACGACGACTGTTGGAAGCGAATGGCGCGTTCGTTTGGAGTTAGCCATTCGTCGTGTAGTGGCGGTGCAATTGGTCGCCCTTGAGGATCACGGTCGAGAGTATCACGAAAGTTTTCGTACCCAGATTCAACCAAATTGAACCAATGATTGGCATCAAGTTGGTTTGGATTGGCCGCACCCCCTGCATCGGAGTTGGGGACAGTACTGAAGTGGTCGTCACACACAAAATGATATTGTGGTGAGACATGTTTGGTTCGAAGATTTAGGATTTGCGCGACCGAGGAAGCGTGGTCAGGCGAATAACCAAGGTACATTCCACGTCTTGACCGAGGATTCCATTTAGGAAGCTTCTTTCCGTTTTGAAGTTTTGGATCAAGGACATAGGTAGGACATCCAAAGACGTGAAGGCGATGGAGGGAATTATAGTTGGGGAACCTTGACTGACTGAAGATTTCAAGTGGTGCTAACCAAGTGTCACGACGTGGAAGACTGTTCCATATGTAAGCTGCATGTTCCATGGCAAAGGGCCATAAGTGCACGTCCGCTTCGTCAGGCCAGTGAAGGACCTGGTGGAGAAGCATGGTCCAAGCCCACTTAGTAACCGTTTGTATTGCACGTTCGGCGACTGCATTCTGATGATGAGCTCCAACACCGCTGAAATCAATTGTCTGCTTCTTCAAGGCGAGATCATTTTGCCAAGTTGCAGAGTTGAAGGGCGTGTGGTCTGCTCGATAACTCTTGATATCCGGTACGTTGTTGGCTTTTGCCCATCGCTCGAACTTGTGCTTTGCCATCAAAGTTTCGCCTGCTCGAAGAGAGACTTGATTGACAATGAAGATTGCACCAGAAGCGTGGTCACAAAAGATAGTACCCCCTGAGTACTGATTCTTCTTCTTTTCTTTTCCTTTGGTGTGTGGTAACCTACCAGGTACGTAAGAAACGTAGCTATCGATGGAAACTTTGGCATAGAAAAAAGAAAATCAGAAACGAAACAACATGCAAACACGCAGAACGAGCCAATCTGCTCCGCGTAGCGCTAGTACTGATTATACGTAGAAAACTTTGAATTATCAACAAACAAACGGCAAAACACTGGCAAAACATGGGCAAATCTCCAGCTTCGAAGGCTACCTCAGCTAATGCAAAAAAGCTGGGTGTGGCTAAGTCCAAGGCTTCCTCTGTAGGAAAAAAAGCGATGAAAAAACGACTGGAAATTGATTTGGAACAGCCCAAAGACAGAGATCCTGTCAATTCCAATGATGTTGACATCAAGCAAATTGCCGATGATCAAGACGCTCTACGAACGGCCGACGAATTCGAGGCACAACGAATCGCCGAGCGAGAGTCGCGGCGAAGAGAGGACTACAATAAACTGGTCCCTAAATTATCTGAGTGGTGGTCAAAGAAATTGTACTGCGGTGAAGCAGTCAATCAAGCGATGCAAAGAATGGATCGCATTCAAACCGGCAACGCCTTATTTGCAGCCTGGGATGATCGATATCCAGGCGCTTGGAATCAACCTTGTTTGCGATTTGATGCCCTGTTCAACGACTATGCCGGCACATCAACATGCAACGATCGATTTCTTCAGATTTTTACTTATCTCAACTCTGATAACGCCCAACTGGCTCAATATCTCATCTCCTCTTTTGATCTCTACACAATCGAGGATACAGCAGCCGAAGACGTCTGGTCACTGCGAGTTCTTGCAATGCGAATTTCATTGCAGAACCCTTTCTCGTTCTTTGATATTGACGAATTTGAAAAAACCCAGAACAACAACCAATTCTTTGAAGGGGACAAGTCGGATCCTCGCCTTCGTCTGGAAAATCCGCTTGTTGGCTTTTGGTTGATTTGTTCTGAAATGTTTGATTATCCATGGGCAACAACCTTTGACGACGACTACTATAACGAGCCGTCTTTGTCAATCATTTGTGGCATCAAACAAAAACGGTTGGCACCCTTTCAGTCCTTTTTCCGACCAGAAAGTTCAAATCATCATATTCAACATGCTACCCAGAAGATCAGTGATCCAATGAATGACCATTTGGACAATGCGGTAGGCCAGTCTCATTTGAACAAAACAACTTTAGTGGATCAAAGGAAGCGTCATCGTAATCTGACCGACAATAGATACGAGGCACTGGCGGATGAAGACGGATCGAGTGGGGGAAATGCTGACAATGCCGAGGCTGAGGACGACGATGCCACTACTATTGACGGTGATGCCTACCAACAACCAAATCAGGACGATGATGACGATGAAATACTAGTGACGGCGGTCCGAAACAACCCAAGACGCCCACCACTTTCTTCAGATGATGAGGACGACGGAAATGAGGATGATGATGATAATGAAGATGATGATGCGGTGAGCAACGGTGAGGTGGTTCAGACAGAATCTGTAGAAGCACTGGTGAGGTCAGAAGACGACAACATGGCGGTTGACAGCTTGACAAGCCCAACTCAGGTCTCTCAGGACAGCTCTTCATTGATCCATACACCTCCACCTACACGTCGCCTCGCTCCACAGCCCACTCTTGCTGAGAAACTTAACAAATTAATTCAAGTTAACTTGGATGGGATGACCTGCAGATGTCATATTTTTGAGACCACATTTGCAACAAATTTCTCGGGATCGGACTCCGGCACGGTTGCTGAGGCCATTTTATCTGCGGTGCTGACATCCATGGAGGAAGCCTTGAACAACTCCTTTCACGAGCTGAAGATCCTTCCTATCTCCGACAACACTTATAAACAACAGAACCGGTGGATTCGGAACTCGGTTGAGTTACGCAACAAAATTTTGTCCTACCGGGCCCTGAGTCTTTACTGTGATATGGAATGTGGGAATTCTCCTTATGCAGCAACCAACAGCAAGCCTGGCGAGAAGAAACTACGTACCCGAATGCAGTTTGGCTTTGCAAGGGACACGTCGGAAGAGGCGGCACAGGACTATCTTCACACTGGTCTCCGTTCCCAGGGTCGCGGTGCCGGATGTTACCCGTCGCCGCTTCAATATGGGGACATTGTTAAAGTGGGTTGCTTTGCCTTTATCCCGCCGGAGGTTAATTTTGACGCCTATGCGAAAGAAATCATGCGTCACTTTGACTTCTCTATCCCTATTGGCATCAAGATGGACTGGGTTTCTACACCTTACACAGGACGTGCTAAATTCAACGAACGTTCCCCCGGCGTAACAAGTCCTCATGGGTACGCTCGCAAGATTCATGCCAAAAGAGTCGATCGAGAATTAAGAAGCCTTCTTAATCCATCCACAGCAAAGCCAGACTTCCCCTTCGCTGCTCCGGCTACATTTATCAGTGATTGGAAGTCTGCTCAACAGGGCTTGATCAGTGTGAAGGCCTATGGTCCGGTTAAGGATGCTACCCTCACCCTTATTAGCAAACTACGTGATTACTACATCCTGACAGAGGTCCTGTATTCGGTCATGGATCTGCCCGGGATGTTCAAGTTCGCAACTACTACTATGTTTGGCTCATGCACCTTGTTTAAGCTTCTCCTGTCAATCAAGGCAACCCCAGCTCAAGCCGACAAAGCTTCTCATGTCCATCAATCAACAACTGAGACTGATGACTCAGACGATGACTCAGACGATGACTCTTCTGACGACGATCCCAATGAATCCTCTGGCCCTAAAGGCGGTCAATTCACAGAAGTTCGGTCTAAGAAGGCGGCAACAAAGGTGAAAAAGAAGGCAAAGAAGAAGAAGAAGTTGATCACTGATAATGAGAATCCGTTCCTTAACGATCTCTCCCCAGCCCAACGGAAAATGGCTGAGGTTGCTGACCGTAAGCTGAAGAATGATCAGGAGCGTCACAAGTCCGGCCCGCTGTTCTTGATGGTTCTACCCGGCGAGATGGAAGGCACCTACATCCTGGTGTGTCGCAAGAAGTTTGGACAATTGGCTCGTAACGTC